AGGGAGCTCATCAGGTCCTGCTGCCTTTCCTCGCTTCAGAGCTTGAATGCGAGACCGAACTTCTGCTTCTGCAGTACCCAGTCCTTTCCATTTTCTTCTTCCGACGTGTAATAATCCGTTAAGCTACTTGGATGCCGCTTGCCAACGGTCGTTGCAAAATAGCACTGTAAGTATAATGCATACAAGGTAGGTGATAATGTGTGAGAAGGACACGGATAGGACTTTTTCTTAGGACGGGAAGAAAGTGAACCCCTATGGCTTACCATCATCCCGAGACCCCCAGCCAGGGAGCCTAACAGGACTGTGTGACCCAGATTCCTGGTGAGGGTTTTCATACCCTCATGCCAGGTCTTAGCATGACCACCCTGGGCTTTATTCCACCCACTACCTGACTCGGCGACCTATCTGGTGACATGCGTAACACATGCCCCAACAAAGAAATCTATGGAGGTCGACCACTTGCTCCAGTGAGCGGCCGCGGTGGCCTAAAACTCTGCGCCTAACCTCAGCAATGCTCGCCTGGCTGCCCCACCGGATTAGTGCAATGCTGCGTAGACAGTCGTGTTCAAACACCGACAGCCCGTCTTCATCCTGTTTTCTTGATGGCCAAGTTTCTGCTCCACTGACCGAACTGCTGCAGCATATACTCGACCCTTCACAGACAGACGGATGTTGCGACGGCGCCACAGATGTCTCAAGTTGGCAAATGCCAATCGAGCCTTCTCCGTGCGAGCTGATACTTCATCCGTGATATGTCCATCAGGTGAGAAGTAGCTTCCCAGACAACAAAACCCAACCACTTCCTCTACTACTTCCTCAGTTAGTGAGTCTGGGGGCTGGACCAACCCAATCTCGTAGTAGCATTTTACACTTTGATGGTGCAAAACGCATACCGAACATGACTACACCGGCACTCAAGCTATCCAGAAAAAGCTTGCAACTTACCTGGATCTTCATTTGGTGGCATAAATATGGACTGCATACTCCAGATCAGATAGCCTGCCATGTGGGAGTAAATCGACGCCACTATTCGTACAAGGACAGGGCTGTTTCCATGATCAAATATATTCATTAATGATCTTTCTAAAACTGTTAACCCGATCCATTCGTTTACCGATGACGCCAGCCTCCACTGCTCCCTCATCTACCGCACTACTCGCCATACCCAAACGAACATCAATGGTGACCGTGGAGCACATCTCCTTCTGAGGCACTGAATAAGCGGTCGCAGACGATCAAGGGTAGAGTAGGACTCTCGCCTTCCAGGCTATTGTCTGAAAGACTCCGAAACCGGGTTGGTTGGAGACATTGAAGGATATTGCAGCGAACCGACAGCAGTGGCGTTCTTGTTGTCGTTCCTTATCAGACCTGAATGCTTGAAACGGTATGTATGCATAGTTTGATTGTGCACTGTGTTGACCACAGTGGTTCACCTTCTTCTCCCTGCTTCAAAGTAGGTCCAATCCCTGTCCACCCTAATTTTTACCACTAACCTTGTATGTATTGCCAGTTTGGCAGCGACCAGCGGAGTTCGCTTCACTGTATTTGGCTGTACAATGATGATGATTAACGGCAGTGTTCGAGGATGTGATGGATTATCCACTTGGAAAGGGTTCTCCACACAAAACACCACATGTGTCTCACGACAGCGTTGTGACGTGGCGAGTGTGGCTCGCCACCGAATACGGCTATGGCCTCCTTGTCGAATTCCAACTACCTGACAAGGTCTTCCAGAGAAGGCGAATGAACCAACCAACCGGTCACCGGTTTATCTAGAACAATACTGCTGTCCTGTAGCTCGCGCATGGTTGCACAAAGGCAACAGTGCAGCCTCGAACAAGGCCTACTAAGGACTGGGCGACCGAGTAGTACAGTAGCCCATAATGCAAACAAAAATGATCTTCAGCTTAAGCCATAGTTCGTTCTTTCAGTTTTCCTCTCTAATTTTCCTATTTTCCAGTTTTCCTTCATGTCACATTCACCCCCTCAAACATCCTTATTGTCATCAGGATCTTCAGAGAATCGTACTACCAGTTATGCCTCCGATGGGAAATATTCTCTCGCGTCCTACCTCGAATAGCGTCCAAGTCTCACCGAATCTTTCATCACCAGTTGAAGTTCTTCGTCCTCGTTGCCCTTTCAAACGCCACATTTAACGTGCGTACCCTGATGAGTATAGGACAACAAGCATGTTCAACTCGTACCTTCGAGACCCTAGCCATC